ATCTCCACTGGGGCAGTCAGAGAATAGAAAAAGAGTATTTCCTTGCAAGTGAGCAGCCTGTCCTTCTACGTGCGATAATGACCAGTAAATTAAAATTTGTCGGCATTGACAGCAACTCGAGTATTATTGGTTGAATTCTGTGAAAAGAAGACTCGTCGCTGGAGTTGGGTATGCCATGCTAGTAATAGCTAATATGCCGAAAATGGCAATCCCATTCGCCCATGTTTCCATCGTTATCCTTTCCTGTGTCTTTACTAGTGGCTTGTGCGCCTCAATTGGATTTAAAAGTAAAATTGGAAGCCTATAAAAACCCTAATAATCATTCGGGTTTCAGTTCTAAAGCTTCATGAACTGAGTCCTTTCCTGTGTGTCCAACTTATTCTTGCATGAAATCGGAAATACTTCTCTCACGCGCAGTTGTAATTGTAATAACTACATTTTCTACGTGAGTACTGATCAATAACCAGTCGGTTTTCATTCGCTTCGTTACTGCTGTTCATTCGGAAGTCACTAATTATCCAACACGCCCTGTGAACGTACCTAACCGCGGTTCATGTACCGACGTAAGCTGCCAACCCCGGAAGATAGTTATTTGGTCAGCATTACTGTGAGACCGCACATGTTTTTTTGCCAGAGGTGGAAACGTACACGTTCCGGATCAATAATAGATCCGTTGTATTCATCAGCCGTTTTGTAGCTCTTCGTGCCTTCTAACTTGCACCGAAGTCGGAACTCGAAGAACAACGGTAAAAACTGGATAATTATGGCGTGTTCGGCCTAAACACAGCCCCCCACGATTGTAGTTTGTTTCTTTTCCATGTGAACTTCCCCAAATTTCTTCATTCGGTTCGTACCTAGGCTTTCTTCATAAGTACCGGAGCTAGCAACCCCCAATCTATCCCTCCATTGTTCCAGCAAACATCCATTGCCAATAGAAGTGAAAAGGCAGTTGAGAAGAGGAAGACACTTGTAAATGCTAATGGTACTCTCTTCAGAAGGGAACCTGAAACATCAGGCGAACTAAATTGTATTTTCAGCAATCGCATCTTTTCAAAGGCCCGATGCTTTCACACATGAGTAGTTCGATAAAGTAGAATGATGAGACCAAATCAAGCTTGTAAAATGAACATAAGTAATTAATTTGATAAGGTGATGACAGTGATGACTTTTAGGGTAAAAGTAGTGGTGATCGAAGTCATTACTGTGCTGCTTATGTTCCCTACCAATGCCGCGTACCCAACCAAGGTCTTTAAGTATCAAGCTACCTACGATCTACGAACTGACCGGTAAACATTGTTCTTAGAATGGGCTACGGGTTGGGATGAATCGTAATGCTTAATTCGCATTTTTTTTAAATCTGTTCTTCTATGCGTAGGCAAATTATGAGCGTGATCCTCGTTGATGAGCGTTCACCGACCACGACTGAAAATAAATTGTCCTGCTCTAACTTGGGCTTCATTCTCAGTTCCTCCAGTAGCTGCACAGCGGCTAGTAGTCTAAGCAGATTGCATGACTATTTCTAGCTCATCAGCCGGCATCAGCCAGTCTTAACCAATCCAAAGTGGTGCCCCACCCGATGCTCGGACTCGCGACCTTTTTTATCAGAGTCTAGTACTGAGCCACGAGCTCGTTTTCTCACCGGTTTAGGTCGGGAGTTATTGACGGTCGTTGATTAACGTTCACCGACCGCTAACGGAACTCACTTGTCCCCAGCCTCGGGCGTCGCACCAGTTGGGCCGGGTATGACTGGCTGACGATGATTAATAAGCCAGAAATAGTAATTCCAGTCTCCATTGCCTTTGCCGGCAGTATTATATGAGTATGACAGTCGTTCCTTCTACCAGTGATGATTAATACCGGTAACCGCGCACTGCTAACTAAGAAGTGGGTAAAGAACTCATTCTCT